AGAGTTAGTGGAATGTAGATATTTCTTCTGTTTTGGAAATTGATGATTTATTCAGCAAATATTTATTGAATATTTATCAGACATTGGGCTGGACATTTGGGGTATAAAGATAATTAAGATACCATACCTACCCATAAACAACTCATTATTTATCAAGGTAGGCAGTTAGGCTTGTTAACATAATTATAATAAGATATGATAAGGACTGTACCAGAGAGAATGTAGTAAGATATTATGGGTACATGGAAGATGAACTCTAGAAGATGGACTGCAGGGAATGAGCTATAATTGAGGCTTTCTGGGGAAAAGGTGTCATGTCAACAGGATTTTTGGTTAAAATGAAGAAAAAAAATTAAAGACAAGACTTAAGGAGGTATCCAGGTAGCAGATCAACAGATTAGGGGTTCCAAAGTTAAATATTAAAAGGAGTTTGGAGGGGGAAGGATCTCTCAGGAGAGGGAGATTGTGAATCGGAGGATGAGAGGAAGACTGGAGTAGCTTACACTTTGAGTTACAGCTATGGGTTGTAGGAACAAGGTGACAGTGAAATGAAAAAGTATGGGGGCTATGATAAAGCAAGACTATTTCAATATTCCATTTAGCTTTAGGTGTAAAGTTGTAGTCCCTCTGCAAAGCTTTACCAGGTGTATTACATGAACTTTCAAAATTATCTCAAGTTATGTAAAAGTAAAAATTGGCCTTGTACATGCTTTCTTTCTTCAAAAAAAAATTTTTTTTAAGCTGTATAAGCCTTCTATTGTAGAACCTTGTGATGATGATGTCTTATTTACAAGATGCTTAATAGTTGTAATTTGAGTGAATTCTCTTTTCTCCAAGTACTAGTAGACTTGTAAACTTATAGGTAAGAGTAAAATAGGTTGAGTTTAATGTATTTTATCTTCTTGTTATCTTGGCCATTCTTTGAAAATAGTTTAAATCTTTTATTAATTCTAATGCCATGAGTATGTTAATCATGATTCAAGAAAAGGTCCTTTCAGTGGTAGGAATAGATATAGGTATAGCACATGTCTACATTTTCTTTCATTAATGGACTGACAATTAATAGGTATTGAATGATAAATGAGACACTTGTTGGTAGCACTTTGCCAATTCCCATTTTCTTTTTTTTTTCTTCTCTTCCCCTTTTCTTCTACTTCTCCTTCCCCATTTTTCCCTACATTTTTCCTTCTCCTGCTTTTATTGCCTATGTGTACCAAAGACACCTATAAAAATTCACAGCCACTGCTTATCTCCACCAATAACATTCAAAGCTAGAAAAAAAGCCATCTATGAAAATAATATGCTTTGAAGTTAGTTTGTAAGATGTAGGTGGTAGCTCAAATTAAATGAACCATTTTTTCTTTTGTTTATATAGTGCTGGTTAGTTAGCATTCAGCCTCTTATTTTTTAAAAATTAAGCAAGATTGTCACTTCAAGGCAAACAAGTGATAGCATTTGTTATTAATAATAAAATTCCAGTATTCATATGAAAATCAGAATTTGGAAAACTTATGTCTGCCACTGTGAGCTTGATAGCTTTCCAATACTTAAAGACTTTTTTGATGAGATCAGTGATGAATATGATGATTCTGTTAACTCGCAATGAAGCCTGCTAACATTTGAGAGAGCTGCATAACTCAGTCTGCCAATATTTTCCCAAGGATAAATGCATGAAGTTATGAAATCAGGTATGGGTTAAAAAAAAAAAAGTGTTCAAAATCCAAGATATACCAATGGATTTAAGTTTAACAGAGTTGTAAAAGTTCATTGATACAGTTTCACTTTCCTACTTTGTAAAAAAGTCTTGAGAAACTACCACTTATTCAAGTTTTGGTATAGTATCAAAGAAGAGTATACACAATTTTCCAACTACATATCTGGCAAGGTCCAGTTTTCCTCATAAATATCAACCAAAAGAGCCTGTCACAACAGATTGAATGCAAAAAGAGAGGTGAGAATCCAGCTGTCTTCCATTGTCAGACATGAAAGAGATGTGAAAGAGTGAAACAATACTTTCCTCACTCAAGTTTTTTGTTTTGAAAAATAATTTCTCGTAAAAATATTATTTTTGTTAGCATATAATGGGCTCGTTTATGAATAAAGTTTTAAAATGTTTTAGATGTCTCAGTTCTAATGCATAATCCAAAATATTTTTAAATATCATCCACATGAACTTAACTCATTGAGGCCCTCAAGGATTTAAGAGAGCAAAAAGGTGCTGACACCAAATGTTTGAATACCCATGTAGCAAAGTACTGTATTCCAAATGGAAATGAAGAAAGGGTGCCTGATTTTCAAGGTTCATTCTGTCTATGCTCCTGAAGTACTTGATTTGAATATTAAAGGTCTTGTTTAGAGATTTTCCAAGGGAAAGCAAATTGCAGTTGGGATTCGCTTTTGTGGACTAGGAGACTCCAAGGCCTTCAACAGCAGCATCTTCTTGACACTCCTTCCAGGTATTATTGTTCAGTGGGTGGGAAACACAAGCAAGGGGGGATGGAAAAATCATCAGCACCAAGTTAATCGCTGGTGGGAAAGCTAAGCACTCTATATCTAGTGTGAATCATGTCACTGGGTGATTTTTCTTGGGACATTCTTTTAGGGGTGATATAAAGGAAGAGAAGGGATTACTATCTGTTCCTAAGATACAACTTAACAAAAAGTAAGACTGAAGAGGAACTGAATGCCTAAACAATGTTCTTGGAGCTACCAGTTCTTACCCAGAAGAATAACTAACTACTAGCCTGACTTAAAAGAAACCCTGACCTGCGAGAACAGCAGGGCAATTAGCTGGTGGTACTCCCTCGGCAAAGCATTAACACTTAGCTGCTCAGTCAATAAGGGAGTATCCAGACTCTGGGAAGACAGGAAATTAGGGTTTAAACTCATACTGGACTGCTCCCTCCAACTTAGTTTATTACCTGGCAAGCTATAGGTATTCAATAAAATAATCTGTTTTAAATGTCTAATGGCTAGGGATGGAAGGAGAAGACATTTCTCTTCAGGAGACTGGGGGGTATCTGGTTGTTGCTGCTCTAAAAAATCTCAAAGACCAGTTGGAAGGAGATGATTAATTGCAATAATAAACGTGGTTGAAATGGAAACTGTTGATTGAAGGAAAAAATCTTCAGACCAAGGGAGATAACACAAGAGATGGAAATTTATAGTTTAGAAGGTTGAATGCTTGGTAAACAGTTGTTGGACGGCATGCACCTTCCCTAAAGGAAATAGGTGAAAAGGAAGTACGTTATCTAGAGACCTCACTGAGAGCTGTCAGCAAGCACTTCACACCTCTTCCTCATGCAAGGACCTTTAAGGTTGGAGGTCAGTTATCTGTAGGGGCTTTTCAAGTAGAGCTGCATTACTCTGAGGCCCGCACATAGACAGAAAATAGGTTTAGCTCAGAGTTTTCCAATCTTAAAAAGAGAATGGCCTTAATGCCAGAATTATATTAAACAGTATTGGTTGCTAGTTTATATTTAGTGTGAAAAGAACTTGGACTTGGACCTAGTAATAGTAGTGTAATCTTTTTCATGAGTAGTATCCATTGTTTATAAAGACAGATAAATGTTATTTCAATGCTGCTATTACATAATATATGAAAGTACTTAAGATGGTGATAAAATGGTCTCAGATGCCACTATCCACATGTGCGTCAGTCTAGATCATGATGTAAACCACAACCTGACCTACAGAAGTGTTTTGTTTGACTTGTACAGTATTTTAAAGGTGGGAAGTTTTGCATACAAATCTGGTTTTCCAGCTCCTCTTAGAAAATTGTAAGTGGGTCTGCATTCTAGTGTGACAGTAATCAACTGGATCTGACCCATGGCACTACACATGCACGCACATACACACAGTATCCCTCCACTTAGCCAGTCTCCATCACTACTCATTGCCTTCACACAGCCCACCTGATTTGATTTCCCTGTTTAGCTCCACTGATGGAGCTGACCTGGCCAGCTGTTTCATACAGAATATCTCAAGGGATCCCTCTTACCACTGCCAGCTACCTCAAGTGCAGTGTTGTGTATTTAAGGGTTGCTAAGAGAGTAAATCTTAAGGGTTCTCATTATAGGAAAAACAATTTTTAACTAGTGGGGTGATGGATGTTAACTAAACTTACTGTGGTAATCTATTTCACAATATATACATGTATCAAACCATGTTGTGCACCTTAAGCTGATAAAGTGTTATATGTCAATTATATCTTAATAAAACTAGAAGAAAAATTTTGGCTCCAGGATCAAATAAAAATCGTCATGTTTAAGTATCTCAGTTTTTGTTTCTAGGGTACAATCTGCCGTTACCAATGTGTCTATGGGCATTTTATTCTTTCCTAATAACTTATGCAGAGAAATAATCAAGTACCCAATCAATCCTCATGATCTTTGCAGATATTTAAAAGCTTAAAGATACTAAAATGCACTACCTTGGTTCCATTTCTTTGGGGGTCTGTATACCAAATTTCTTGGGTACTTGAAAGTGTAAGTAGCCAGGGCAGCTATCGCATTGTTCCAGGTGTTGTTAGCATTATCTGGCTGTAATAGCAGTGTAAATATGCTGATCTCAGAAAATGCTAACTAATCAGTTTGCATTCTTAGACATGTTACTGCTTTGAGCCTTAACAAAGGCTCTTGACCTAAAGAGTAATCAACAGCAGAGATTTTAGCTTTCTGTTACTTAGTCGGAAGAATCTTAGTAATTTTGACAAAATTGGACAATGTGCCCAAAATTGGACGTTAATCTTTGGCTCATGAAGATACCCCCAAAGAAGTCATTTCTTTCTGTATTCTCAGCCTCTTCTACAAAAGTTTTGATTCAACTACCAAAGTTCGTTGTTACAGTTCATAAATTGCTGGTTGTTTTTGTGTGTCAGACTTCCGTTGTTACTTTGTATATGACGTTGTACTCGATTTACTAGACCTTTGATTAAGTTAAATGGTCTATTTTTTGCAACAATGACGTGTAGTAACATATTTTTCTTTTTTTAAAAATAGATTTGGACTGAGCAACAAATTTGAATCTGAATTTCCTTCTTCGTTAACTGGAAAAGTGAGTGTCTCTCAGTTATTTAGGTACTATATATGCCTCAAAACTAAAATCTTTCTAACAAATTAGAGAAAAATGTATTCTAATGAAACATGTTTATTGACATTAATATTGCAGTGTTGTTATTTCTTAAAATTTTTCTTTAGGTAGCTCCTGAAGAATTTAAAGCCAGCATCAACAGAGTTAACAGTTGTCTTAAGAAGAACCTTCCTGTTAATGTCCGTTGGCTACTTTGTGGCTGCCTTTGTTGCTGCTGCACTTTAGGTTGCAGTATGTGGCCAGTTATTTGCCTCAGTAAAAGAGTAAGTTGAATTATATATTTTAATTTAAATTTAGAAGTAGACAAGCAAGTCTTGCATTTATTTAGTTTTTATTTTTTGTGTTGATTGGGTTGCACCATCTTGAATAGTATACAAAAATAACCTGATCCAGTAGAGGAGTGAGTAAGTAAATTATGGTATGTCCACATGCTGTTATATTAAATAGTCATCTAAAAATTATATTTATAATTTTTATGACATAGGAAGTTACTTAAGAGTAGAGTGGAATACAACATTCTTCATATATACATCGGTGGTGATATAGTGTAGTGATTGAAAATGCTGGGTTTGGGTCTCCTATTTATCTCTTACCCTAGGCACGTTTTCTAACATCTGTCCACTCTAGTTGACATATCTGTAAAGTGACAATATTCACCTACTTACTTGAAGAAGATTATTGTAAGGATAAAATAACATAGTGTTTGTAAAGCTCTTAGCTAATAACTCAAGTAAGTGTCTAATAAATATTTAATAATAGCATTATTACTAATATGTAAGATAGTACCCATAGAAAAAATAAAATGGTTATAGTGCTTAATCCTAGTTGTTAAGATTATGAGGACTTTTTTTTTATTTTACAAGTTTCCTATGATGAATACATTGTGATTCTGTAATCAGAAAAAATGGTCTGAAGAGTCATAATTTTGACTGCTTATAATAAAAAATTTCCAAGTTGTGGGTAGAGATGTAGCAAATTAGTGTAGATTGAATGCATTACATTTTTGTTAAAGTTTTTTAAAATTATGTAATTATGTGTATAAAAATGAAATACTCTGTTTTTTTTTAAGATTGGCACCTGAGCTAACTGTTGCCAATCTTTCTTTCTTTCTTTTTTTTTTTTTTTTAGCTTTTTCTCCCCAAATCCCCCCAGTACATAGTTGTATATTTTAGTTGTGGGTCCTTCTAGTTGTGTGGTATGTGGGATGCCACCTCAACATGGCCTGATGAGCAGTGCTATGTCTGCACCCAGGATCTGAACCAGCGAAACCCTGGGCTGCTGAAGTGGAATGTGCAAACTTAACCACTCGGCCACGGTGCTGGCCCCTGAAATACTGTTAAGTTGAAACTGAATGAATGGTTTTGTGTGGCTGCATTTCATTTTGTCATCAAATAATGAAAGAAAATATGGAAAAGCAAATTCTGTTCCTATTATAAAATATGAGGTATATTCCTACTCAAAGAATTTTTTAACTAGTACATTTTATTGATAGGAAGGAGATAAGTAGTAGCATTACTTTTATAATATTTACTGTACTATTTGTAATACTTACTTTTCTCCAAGAATGTATTTTTTTCCCCATAGTTCTTACCAGATCGTCTTCAGACCATAGTATTTCTTTTTTTCTTTTAAATCTCTGGTTGTCCCTGGATCCACAGTTGAATTTGTAGCTCTTATAGTTTAGATCCCCTGACGCCCTCCTCCTGTGTGGGCATTTCCATTGTTTAAATGACTGCTATATCTCACTTGGTTGGCAGTTTGCTGTTATTTAACCCAAGGAATCATAAGAGTTTATGGCTCTAGAAACGTTTGTGATCTGATTTTTTGTTTGTTTGTTTTTTGAAGTTTTGGAATCCTCTGCTTTTTTACATATAAGTGAGTAAGCAAGATATTGCAATGTGTACAAAATGTAGGATTTAGAAAACAAAAGTAAATTTCCTGCCCTTCTCCACACATCTTTAAGATCATTTTTCAGATGCTTTCATTAAATTCCTTTTTATTTGAGACATAAGATAGATTTTTTTTTTAGGCTATTCTCATCTGTAGTTTCAGAAAGTACATTTCGTTTAACATTGTGGTATTCGGTCTAAGGTCTGTCTTTGGATATGTATTTTTTATGTTCATATGGACTCTACCATCTAGTGAGCATAAACAGATATGATTACTGTTTTGAAAAAAGCTGCGCTTTTCCCTGTCTTGGGTATAAACTATTATCTAACCATGGAGAGGTGACATTTCATACATTTGTGAAGGGTATTAGAGGCCCTGAAAAAGGGGTGCTTTGTAAGATGGGGGCAGGATAATTCAGAGGAGGGATTTTTAACCTTTTATTTGTCATGGACCCCTTTGGTAGTCTAGGGAGACTTATGAACCCCTTCTTAGTGTAATGTTTTATTTGTATTTTAAAAGATTTAATGTATTTTAAATGTATACAATAAAATACATAAGATTATAAAGGAAACCAATTATGTAAAATATAGTTGTCAACTTACTAAAACACCTCAAATATATGATTTATAAATGTTTCTTTATTAATGCATACAAAATAAGATACCAGAGGATCCATGGTAATATGATGTGATAGGAAAAATCTCTGATTTCTATGAGTGATAAAGATACAGGTCCTGTTTAATCTACCACAGTTAGTTGCATACATTCATAGCCTAAGGAAATATACTAATTTCAGTTAGAAGTTAGTGAAAATAAAGGTGAATTTTTGTTCCATGCACCTTCATAGATTCCTGGATTTCTATCTTGGTATTCTGTGTTAAGAACCCTTGATTTAGAGGTACTAGTCTAAATAAAAGCTAAAACCCTACCTGATTGCCAGTCTCTGAACCTCTCTTGGTCCTCATTTGTGATGTGAAATTCTCAGTTAGAATTGTCTCAAACTCTAAGACAAATCAGGACCGAGGGCATACTCTATATGCTCAGTGTTTTCACTTTCCTGACATTATTCAATAGTTTAGTTTGGATAACTCTATTTCTGCCTTGCCTTTGAAACCCATCCCCAACTGAGTGCCCCTTTTTATGACCTGGTCTTATTCTGGAGACCTTGTTTTTAGTATGTGCTATGATTATTATTATTTATTTGACCTTCCAAATTGCCTTTTCCTTTTTAAAGAAAAATGCCATAGCCTGTTTTTGAAAAGTATTTAATATCCAATAAAAGTCACTCTTTTTGGCGTACAGTTCTGATTTTTGACAAATGTATAGAGTTCCATAACCACCACCATAATCAAGATACATTACAGTTCTCTCACTCCAAAAAACTTCCTTGTGCTGTCTCTTTGTAGTCATATCCTCTTCAACTCTTTTTTTTTCCCTTTTTTTTTGAGGAAGATAAGCCCTAAGCTAACATCTGCCAATCCTCCTCTTTTTTTGCTGAGGAAGACTGGTCCTGAGCTAACATCCATGCCCATCTTCCTCTACTTTATGTGGGACACCTGTATGGCTTGACAAGCGGTGTGTAGGTCTGTACCCAGGATCTGAACTGGCGAACCCCCGGCCGCCGAAGCAGAACATGCGAACCTAACTGCTGCACCACTGGGCTGGCCCCCCTCTTCAACTCTTAAGCCCTGGCAACCACTGATCTGTTGTCTATCCATACAGTTTTGCCTTTTCTGCAATGTTATATAAACAGAATTTCACAGTATTTGTAGCCTGTTTGGTTTTGCTTCTTTCATTTAACTAGTGCATTTGAGATTCATCTATTTTGTTTCATGTGTCAATAGTTTATTCCTTTTTATTGCTGAGTAGTATTCCATTGTATGGATGCATCACAATTTGTTTATCCATTCACCAGTTGAAGGACATGGAGTTGTTTCCACTTTTTGGTGATTTTGAATAAAGCTACTGTAAACATCCCTATGCATATTTTTGTTTTAACATAATTTTCTGTTTTTAGGAGTGGGATTGCTGGGTCCTATGGTAAATGTATGCTTAATTTTATAAGAAACTTTCAAATTGTTTTCCAAAGTGGCTATACCATTTCACATTTCAATTAGCAAGATATGAGAGTTCCAGTTGCTTAACATCCTTGCCAGGACTTGATATTATTAGTATTAGAAATTTTAGTTATTCTGTAAATATGGTGGCATCTAACTGTGGTTTTAATTTGCATTACCCTATGACTAATGGTATTGAGCGGCTTATAATGTGCTTATTTGCCATTTGTACATCTTCTTTGTTTAAAGTGTTTATTCAGATATTTTGCTCATTTTTCAATAGTTATTTCTTGTTATTGAGTTTTGAGAGTTCTTTATATGTTCTGAATATAAGTCCCTTGTCAGATATGTAACTTGCAAGTATATTTTTCCAGTCTCTAGCTTTTGTCCTTTCATTCTCTTAATGTCTTTGGCAGAGCAAAAGTGTTTGATTTTAATGAGTCCCAATTTATCAATTTTTACAAAATGGATTGTGTGTTTGATATCATGTCTAAGAATTCTTTGCCTACACCAAGGTCACAAAATGTTTCTCCTATCATTTCTTCTGCGTTTTACTTTTAGATCTATGACCCATTTTGAGTCAGTTTTTGTGTAGGTCTGAGATATAGGTCAAAGTTCATTTTTTTGCATATGACTCCAGGTTCTCCAGCACCATTTGTTGAAAAGACTGTCCTTTCTCCATTAAATTGCCTTTGTACATTGTCAAAAATCAATTGACCATATTTATGTGGCTCTATTTCTCGACTCTTCTGTTCTCTTGATCTCTTTGTGTCTGTCTCGATTTTAATACCACATGGCCTTGTTTACTAGAGCTTTATAGTAAGTCTTAAAGTCAAGTAGAGCAAATCTTCCAAACTTGTTCTTTTTTGAAATTGTTTTGGCTATTCTAATTTTTTTGCCTTTCCGTATAAATTTTAGAATCAGCTTGTCAATATCTAAAAAAAAAAAAAATGCTGGAATTTTGATTGGGATTGAATCTATAGATCAATCTGGGGAAAATTGACATCTTAACAACAAGTCTTCCAAACCATGAACATGGCATGCCTTTACATTTATTTAGGTCTTCTTTGATCGTTTTCATCAGTGTTGTAGTTTTTCCGCATAGCATACAGATTATGCATGTATTTTGTTGGCTTTATATGTATGTATTTCTTTGTATTTGGTGATATTGTTAATGGTATTGTTTTTAAAATTTTGATTTCCAATGTTCATTGCTAGTACATAAGAAACGCAATTGATATTTGTATATTGACATCATGTCCTATGACCTTGCCAAACTCACTTATCAAATTCCAGGAATGTTTTTATAGATTCCA